AACCTCGTATTCATCTCTTTCCAAGGACCATAAATTGCAGCATTCTAGGGTAACCATAAAGAGGACACCAGTCCAGGTTTTCTTACAAAGCTATACTTACCCCTTTGGGATGTGTAAGCTTTCCCAAGTCATGCCAATCCATTGAAAAACACAATTTTGGAGATCAAAATCAAAATTTTAGGTCAAGTTTACACTTATCCCCTCAATGTAGGGCTCCATATTTTTAGGATTTTCTATTCATTTTTAATCTTTTTTTCAAAATGAAATCTCATTTCTATATAACAGTATATCTTCTTTTATAATAATATAATATTATAAAGAAAAGAATGATATTATCTTGTTGTTTTCTGGTTTAAATTCTTATGTTATATGGTTTCAATAACTATTATATTGGTTAGCATTTTTTTTTCTCTGTTTCCCAAACAGTAGTGGAGTAAATTATAAATTAGTCCCTTTTATTTAAAAAAAATGAATTAATTGATCTCTCTTGTTTTAAAAACTAATCATTTAGTCCTCATTTTCTTAAATCTACTTGTAACTTATTATTATTATTATTATTATTTTGCTCCTTTTCAATTTATATTAAAAATGAAAAGATTGATGAAAAAAAGAAGATATTTTATAGAGTAAAAATAATTTTAAATTAAACAGGATCATGATGATCAATAAACTAAATAATGGTTTTTGAAAAAAAATTGACTAATTGATTTGTTTTTTAAAACAAGCAGGAATAATTTTTTTTTTTTTAAAAAAAAAACTTGTGTCAAAAACTGAGAAAGTTTATAATACTAAAGGAGTAGCTACTGCACATATTATAAAATTTCTCTCGAAAACCGGGTTCTTGTGTCATGCGTGTGTTTTAGCATTGCAATATTTTATGGCACCTTGAAATCAAATGTGAAAAGAATATCATTCTATTAACAAGAAACAAAAGAATATATACTAGCTGATTATCACTGGTTTGTTGGGAAAAAAATATTTTTTATTTATTAAAATATAGATTTAATTTAACAAATTAATGGATAGAATTATTCGTAATTAAAAAATAATACACACTACTCGTAATTAAAAATGACTGAATATGAATTTTAAAATAAAAATAAATTACACTTACATAAAATTTATAATGAATTATATATATATATATTCCAGTCCAACGTTTTTCAGGCCTAGAATATCAATTCCTGAATACAATGTACCAATTAAAATGGCCCAAAATAAAATATGGGCCAAGAAAAACTATGAATTTGAATGGAAGACAAACGGGCCCTTAAAATAAACAATTAAAGAAAACTGAAGAAGGCCTCATTAATCAGCTGAGGTTTCAAAAAACAGTTAAAGTCGTTAAACATTTAGCTGTCATCTTTCCCGCTAAACATCGATAAACAAATCAAGCTGCTAAATATAGGAACCAAAAATAGTAAACGAGTCTCAACTTCATAAACAAAAACCATAATAATAAAGCAGCAAAACTGCTCGCTGCTTTCTTGACCAGTCATTAATGCTATAAAAACGTCTGGTAGTTAATATAGAAAAAATAGAATATTGAATCTTTGGCCATTACTTTAATTGTCAAACTAATTTCTCTCTCTCTCTCTCTCTCCTTTTCTTTTTTGAATTTTCCATTCCATTCCCTTGAAAAAGTTTCATTCTCAATTGAAACTTGCAAGGGAACTAATTAACGTTTCTCTTGTTCTAAGCATAATCCTTAGAAGATTCTAAGTAAGTTCACGAATGGTTTTTCTTTTCTTTTCAAATTTGATTAGTCTTGGTTTGTTGAATTTGATTGACCCTTGTTTAACACATTCTAACAGGATTGGAAGAAATGATCAAGTATTTGCTTTTAGTTTCCTTGGTAATCCATGCAACGTTGGCGAATTCGGAATCTGCTTCAAAGAAATGGCTAACTCTAAATGGTAGCAATATATATATATATATATATTTTTTTTGCTTTTTCATATGTTTTAGAAACCAACTAGAATCTTTCCCTGATATAAGACAACATAATTGCACATTGTATATGCAGGCCGGCGACCTTCTGTGGTAGCCCGAGGAGGGTTCTCGGGGATTTTCCCTGAATCCAGTGACTTTGCAAACCAAATGGCACTTGGGACAAGCGTGCCTGATGTGGTTGTGCTCTGCAATTTACAACTAACAAAAGATGGGGTTGGAATTTGCCAGGGAGATCTCAGGCTTGACAACACAACAAATATAGCAATGTTATTTGAAAAGGGATCAAAAACCTACAAGGTAAATGGGCAGGATCTTACCGGGTGGTTCGCAGTAGATTTTACGGCTGATCAACTCCTTGCCAATGTGTCTTGTAAGTCTCAGAAACTACATTTCGGTTTTATAGAGAGAGCTTCTTTGTTTATTCTTGCTGAAAACGAGACACAAAGGTCTAAAAAGAAAGTGACAGGTTCATGGTAGGAAGATCTTATTGTCGTCTTTACATGTATTTATTGCACTGCATAAATGTTATGTTGAACACACATAGCCAAATGTTGTAAAAGTGAACGAAGGAAAGGTAATCAGGCATATAAGAAAGAATCCATGGCATGGAAAGGGTAACCTTCTGAAAATTACTTTGTGCCTTGAAATGACTAAAATCCCTCTTCCTCGTTGTCCTGTTGCTCGTATGCAGTGGTGCAAAATATATTCTCTCGGCCAAGTGCATTTGACGGTTTACTACCGATGTCTACTGTTGATGATGTCAGAAATTCCAACCCCCTGCGTTTTGGTTGAATGTTCAGGTGTCCCTCTCTTCTCTCTGCGGATGTTTCTGATAAGAACTTTGTTTGAATATTCCTTTCAAGATTTACAGTTTCGCCAAGTGCCATGCCCAGAAAACTATATGTATCTACTTCCTAATAAACATTTTACGTATGGGCAGTACTAATGCATTATCTTTCTATATCCTCTTGGTTTGCAGTATGATGCATTCTATACCGAAAACAAACAAAGTGTGTCAACTTACATTCAGAAGGCAACAAGACTTCAGGGTGTAAATTACATTTCTTCTCCTGAGATTGGTTTCTTGAAGAAACTGAGTGGATTAGTGAACAAGGCTAAGACCAAGCTAATCTTCGTCTTCCTGGACAAAAAGGCAACTGAACCCACAACCAAGCAAACTTATGGTTCAATATTGGGAAATCTTGCCACGATCAAGACATTCGCATCAGGGATTGTTGTCCCCAAAGATTACATATGGCCTGTTAATACAGCTAACTATTTGGAAGCTCCCACTAGTTTAGTAAACGATGCTCATAAACTGGGTCTTGAAGTATATGCTTCTGGGTTTGCGAATGACTTCACTACAAGTTATAATTATAGCTATGATCCATCAGCTGAGTATCTGCAATTCATTGATAATTCTCAGTTTTCTGTTGATGGGTTGATTACAGATTTTCCTCCTACAGCATCAGAAGCGGTTGGTAAGTCTATACATTCTCATGCCATCTCTGTGTTTCTTCTTCCACCACGTAAAAACATCAAAAGAAAGGATTTTGCCATCTAAGTCTTGTTTTTTTAGGAGGCAATAAGCATCTTAATTTACTATCAAGGTAAGCATGAGTTGAATATGACCTAACCCTCCGAGTTTTATTTTTCTCATGCAGCATGTTTTGCTCAGTACCCTGATGTCAAACCTAGAAAAGGTACATGCTATTCTTATGTTCCACGCACATCGCACAAGAGCAAAGTAAATAGCAGAGCAACTCGTTAACAATGCACAAAAACGCTGTCTATATGCAGGACAAGCTTTGATCATAACTCATAATGGAGCAAGTGGAGTTTATGCTGGAAGCACCGATCTTGCTTATCAGCAAGCAATAGAAGATGGAGCTGACATAATAGATTGCTCGGTTCAAATGTCAAAGGATGGAGTTGCTTTCTGCTTGGATTCGGTCGATGTTACAAGAGATACAACTGCAGCAGCGACCTTCATGTCTCTATCTACCACTATCCCTGAAATTCAACAGCCTGCTGGAATTTTTTCATTTGACCTTTCATGGAGCGATGTTCAAACCTTGCAACGTAAACTTTGTTACTGCTTTCCTCCACAATTTGCTTACAGTTTTCTTCAGGTAATCTTCTGGAAGTCTCTGACAGTAATATTTTCTTATTCCAGCTCAATTGGCAAGCCCTTTCGAGAATAAGGGTGGCATGCCAAGAAACCCTGCAAACAAGAACAAGGGTAAATTCTTGACTCTATCTGAATTTCTCGAATTGGCTAAAGTAAAGGCGGTTACAGGGATTTTAATCAACATAGAGGTGAGCATTTCTCTTTCATAAATTTTAACTATGTTCCAGCATGTGTCAGCCTCATAGTCAAAACCATTCCCTTCATGGAAAATTCTCAATGCTTTCATAGTTGTATTTGATATAAAATTGTTGAATGTCTATCCACAATACAAATTTCTAATGCACATTCTTGGTCTTCAGAATGCTGCTTACCTGGCATCACAGAAGGGTCTTGACATAGTATCTGCTGTTAATACTGCCTTGAGCAATGCCACATTTGACCAGCAATCCACACAAAAAGTACTAATCCAATCAGACGACACTTCAGTGTTGTCCAAGTTTCATAATGTCCCCGCATACAGTAGAGTACTACATCTTAAAGATGAAATCAGTGATGCACCCAAGACACCAGTGGATGAGATAAAAAAATATGCTGATGCAGTAAATCTACCAAGATTCTCCATCGTGCCCACCGTTGATGGTTTCACTACAGCAACAACCAAAGTCGTAAATGAAATGCACGCTGCGAATATCTCAGTATATGTCTCAGTTCTAAGGAATGAATTTGTTACACTTCCATTTGATTACTTCGCGGATCCTACAATAGAGATTGCAACTTACATTTCTGGAATTGGCGTTGACGGGATCATAACCGAGTACCCAGCAACTGCAAGCAGATATTTGAGTAAGTTATCAGCGTTGTCAAAACCATAAGTTTTTACACAAGTTCATACTTACGAACAAAGGATGCCTAGTCTCTACTTCACAAGCTTGCACACTAACATATTACATTGATCCATTGCAGGAAGTCCATGTTCTTCTGATTCCATGCCTGAGGGCTCATACGGCATCATACCAGCTGAAGCTGGTAGTCTGCTGAAGACAATTCCTGAAGAAACACAGCCACCAGCAAGTTCCCCGACACCAGCCTTGGATGTTGCAGATGTTGTTGACCCACCGCTCCCTGCAGTGACCAAACCTGCCTCCCCTCCTCCTACAACTTCACCTCCTTCAAGTGCTCTGGCAAACATTGCTAACGTGGGCCTTTCTTTAGTAGCAATCATGGTGTTTAGCTTGCTCTCTTTGATGTGAAACTAGTTAACATGGCAAGAATTTGTGAATGATTTTTTTTCCTTTTATTTTTTATGGTCTCCTAGCAACTTAATCAAATCTCTGGACGAGGTTGCATTATAACTTGGTAGACACAAGTTGAATGGCCTATTAGTGTCAAGTTTTGACCTTCGATCTCTCAATTCATGAGTGAGCTAAACAGAAACCTTAACTGGCAATGTAAACTATTTGTCGTCTTTCATGTCGAGTTCCAAACCTCATAGAAATGAGATTTAGCAGTTCATTAAACCCTGAATTTCTCCGAGAGAAAACACTTCCCTTTTCCAAATTTTAATTTCACATTCAATTCAACAGTCGATTTGATAAATTCATGGTATTACAGACATAAAACAAGGTACACAAAAACTTGAGAAAGAATTCTGGCTGTTTCAAAGAAAAAACAATTAAAAGGTTAAAAATTGGTTTAAGAAAAACTAAACCCATTTAAAATTTCCCAGAAAAGAAAAATTGTAAGTAAGATCGAGACCGATCTCTAGAAAGAGATTAGGAAGGAAGATGGAGGGAGGGAGGCTCAGATTCGCCTTTTATCAGACACCAATAGGAACAAAAAACTAAGAACCAATGGCTGCAACAATGATCCCCTCAAAGTTACCCTGCCAAAGATTACAAGTTCTTTTCTGTCTGATTTTGCGTTCAGAAAAAAATCATCACAGCCTCATATATAGAGAGAGAGGGACAGAGAGAGAGAGACTGCATTTGGTTCCTTGAACTTTATTTATTTATTTATTTACTTATAGAGAGAGACAGAGAGGTAAAAGCAGACTTAGATCTGCTTGTAAGAGAGAGGCTCAAATCTGTACCACTTATCAGACAATTAAAAAGAAACACAAAAACCACGGGTGCAAGAAAGGAATCTGTGAGTAAAGTCACAAAACAGTAATTTTCTCAGAGAAATCCTAACTTGCCTTGCCAAATGATTGAAGGGTTTCTTTAAAATGACTCATATTTTTGCTGGAAAATTATCATCACAGCCTCTACAAGGAGGAGCAGAAGAAGAAGAAGAAGAAGAAAAGGCATGGAAATTACCAAAGGAAACAGCAAGAAGCTATACATACATACATATATATTCATATACACAAACTCAGGGCTGTTGATTGATTATCAGATGGTGAAATCATAAGCTTCGCAGACATTCAGAGAGAGAGAGAGAGAGGCAACCACCCTGAAGAAACCATTCCCATCCATCTCTCTGAGAGCAAAACCTCATTCTTTACTGATTTCTGGCTGTGGCTTCTTGGGGTTCTCTTCGTTTTACAGTGGACTGTTTTTTTTTTTTTCCCATCAATTCCATGGCTGCCCTTACTGGCGGGCATTTTAGTAATTGGATAAGAGTTGGATCTACCATTAAGAAATTAATTCCCAGTACTCCTTTTAATGATTTTTGGTTAAAAATTTTACCTCTGTTAACACTACAATAAAAAAAAAAAAAATTATTTACGACATAATAAAATTGCCATTAAGAAATTAATTCCAAGTACTCCTTTTAATGATTTTTTAAGAAAATATCTCAATTACATGTAATGTTTGATGGCTAAATTAAATGAAATATAACATAAGAAATGTTAATCAAAATATTTTATAGCCCAAAGAATAAAATATATATATATTATTTTAAGAAGTGTTTGTAACATTTAACCTAAGAAATTATGAGATTAAATTTAGTAATTGGATTTTTTTTCCATGAAGACTGAGATCAACTTACTGAAAAAAAAAGACCTATGAAGAACATGGAATTTCCTTTCTGGGATTTCTTTTTGTTATTAATCAAAGCATGATTCAACGTCGAAGGTAATGAAAAAAACAAAATTGTTTTTATCGTTAACTTTCTGTTATAAAAAAGTACGGCAACATATTGTGACTTGGGAGTTGTCTAATCCAACCTCCGAAAAAAGACCAAACATTATCTTCCTTGTTAATATTGTCTCTCCATTATCCATAAGAACACTTTTGTGTTGTTAAGTTTTTGTTCTTTATTGATTTCCATCTCTTTCTATCTTCTTTATTTCGTATTGTCATTCTATTTTCTTTTTTGTATTGATTGCTGTTTTTTTGTTTTTGGCTTTTGGTGGTTGTTTTTTCTAGCTCAGTAGCTGTAATCATTCTTTCCCTTTTATCATTGCTATGTATTGTTGGGGGTAAATATATAAATTTTGAAATAAAATTATACAACGATGGTGTTTTATTTTTTTTAAATATATTATTATAATTTATAAATTTTGATTATATATATATAATTTGTGAATTTTTTAATTGATTCAAACTATCTGAAATATACTTTTAGCTCTCTCTCTCTCTCTCTCTTTATATGTATATATATATATATATTGAATTTATTAAAACCAATTTTGTTGTAATTTTTATTTTAATCTATTGGCTTCAATATATTTTATGCAATTTAGGTGGATTTTTTTATTTATTTTATATACTCGAATCGTTAAGTGTGTGTGTATATATATATTATAAATTAACTATATATTTGTACACATAATATCAATTATTTGTTATTAATTTTTTTATATTCTAAAATTAGTTTTTTTAAATAAAATAAGTTAAATAATGTTTTAAAATAACCTTTGAATTATTCAAATATAAATTTTTATGCTAATAGTATTAAATATTTTGTTAATAAATATATATAAATCAAACGATTTCGCTCAATATAGATTCGATTTACATTAATCATTAAAAATAAAATTTCTATTCGTACTACATCATGCGAAACATTAATTATGCGTATGTAACAGTTGTTGAATCGTAACGTAATGGAGGTATCTAATTAGTTTTATCTATTTCTCTCTAAACTTCTTCCTTTTAGTCCTTTCTGAGTATTATTTTGTCTTTGCACATGTACAGTAGATCAATCAAGACTCAGAGATGAGTGGGTACTGAATGCTGTGACAGACAATGACCAAAATTGGTTTACCCAAATCCTTCATCAATTAATCTCCTTTTCCCCTCTCTACCCAAAAACTTCGTAGGTCTGTAAGCTTCTGTAATTTTCATTATTTTTTTCAGTCGACATCTCGTCTCTCTACAGTCACATATATCTATTTTTTCGAGGTTTTTCTCCATGTCTCGCTGTTCGTTTTGAAAGAGAATAGGAGAAAGATTAAAAATTATTTGAGAAATATCTCTCATTTTTAGAGTTTTTTTTAGTAAATCACTTTTGTAGTCTTTAAGTAAAAGATTGAAGCTCTATGTTATATTTTGTGTGGATTGATTTGTTTGGTTTTTTTTTTTTTTTTTTTTTTAGTTTGTTGCTGCAACTTTTATTTTCACTTTGATTTATTTTTAATTATTTCATTTTATTGTTTTTGTGAGTCAGTAAACTTCGAGCGGTTGTAAGTCAAGCGCTGAACGGCAGTCGAGATGGGAAAGAAAATCCCAAGACTTTAACTTAATGGATGACTTTATAGCTTAATCGCTCACCAAAGGAAAGAATTACTGGAAAAGAAGATAAATCTTAAGTGGAGAGTCTCTCTATAATTTATTGATTTAAATTTTATGATTTAATAAGTGGATGATATTTTATGGCTAATAAAATCCATTTAATGGTTTGAACTTTGTTTGTTACATTTTTTATTATGTTATTTAATGCAATATTTTATTTGATATGCATATTACTTCTCTATAATTTATTTGGTCTTATTGCTCTTAGACGTGTTTATTAGTTTTTTTGCTTTTTTTTTTTTTTTTTGACTTTGTCATATACAAGGATCATCAATTTCATTCAGCTTCTTCTAACTGGTGAATGATTAAACCTTATGTCCATTTACTATACCGATTCGCAATCATCAACATGCATTGTAGTGTTTACACATTCGTTATAGCTACGTTTTTATTTTCAAAGAAAGAAGATGGCTCGTACTTCGCAACCTCCATGTGAAGTGGTTTTGAGATTGCCAACAATATATTAACTTAAGATGCATTGTTATTATTTATTTTAATTGCAAGAGTAAACCTCATTCAAGAAGTTATTTTAATTCTAAACAACTAACAAATTTTAACATACAAATTTAAAATCTCTTTTAGTTTTTTATGTAATTTTTCATTGGTAATTTTTTTTCTCTTCTTATCCTTTAAATCAGGTTTATATAAACAAAACAATCTATTTGAAGAACATGCAATAGAAAAAAAAAAAAAAAGGATGAAAGAAGAAGAAGGTGGTGCTGTTTTTTTTTTTTCCCTGTAAAGTTGCTTTTTGTAAGGTAATGGTGGTTAATATTTTGATTTTTCTTATGATAAATATGTGGGTATCATCATAATATTTATTTTGTTGAATTTATTGCTATCATATGAATCTTGATTAATATCTTGTTTTGATTTTTTTTAATTATAAGTGAAGTTTTATTAGATTTTTTATTTTTAATTCATACTAGTTGATGTTAATTTTGAGGCAAGAAATTGTATAAGAATTAATGAAAGAGTTAAGGGCTTTTAAAAAGCACAAACCAACAAAGAAACGGTAAGTCAAAGCAACAACAAACTACATATAATAAAGGAAAAAGCTCAAAATTATTAAGGTATGCGACATACTTGATGGACTAATGTTTCTCTAGTTAATACTCGACTCATTTTTTTTTTTTCCAAAAAAACAGTTGTTGTTTGAGTTCCTTTTGATCAACCATTATATTTATAACCTTTTACATTATTTATTAAATATTTCTTCTATATTTTCCTTGCGTGGTTGGCTAACAAGTTAAAAAAAAAAATTCTAATGTTTTTGAATACTAGTAAATGGAAATATTCTTGGTTTGAATTGGGTGAAAATTTAAGTTTGAAATTTGTTAAACGAGAGTTGAAGTTGTGGTGTACTTCCTATTATTATTGTTAATGTAAGTGTCCAAGATCCAATCTGCTTGAATAGTTTGATTTATTGTATTATTGTATTTTTAATATTAATAAAGAAATAATTATATTAATTCTTGTTATTTATAATTTGACAAAATTAAATAGAAGTCTATATGATATGCATTGCATTAATGATTGATTAATGGATATGAGATAACTATTAATGCATTTAAATGATATCATTAAATGTCTCAAGTCATAGCATTGTCAACATTAAACATTGACAACATGCGATAAGACTTGTAATTGTTATACTCTTACTCGTATGATAGTAGTAGAAGATCTCACGTTTATTGGCATAATGATGCTAAAGCAAATACTCGGGTGAATAAATGTTAGAGAATAAATCACTAAACGTGACTAGTCATGAGAATCAATTTGGTTTAGTCTATGAGAATCTCATACGAGATGGATACAACTAGTCTTTTAATGTGAAGTCATTACGGTTATTTCATTAGAGGATCAATGTACTTTGATATTCGTTTCAATTGGCTCGGTAAAGAGCTATATGTAGGTAATTCGTTTGATGCATTAGAAATCTAATAAAGATATGTGGATAATTAAGAAAGAATATATCATTCATTATATACTAAATGAATTATCACATTGCACTTCGATATATGTCTACTCAAAGAATTTGTGACCACGAGTGGAAGTATATCAATAAAGCATAATCGATTTACTTGTGAGCTAAGACATTTGAAGATTGAATAAAATTTATGTTATCATAATGAAATAAACTACAAATCAAGTGTCGATATCACATTATGATAAATTATTATGAAGATTGAATTATACGAAAACCATTTTCGTGAAAGGTAATTACATATTAATTAATACTATTAGAGAATTGGGTAGTTCCGATGTCATGAAAACCATTTTCATAAAAGGTAATTGCAAACTAATTAGTCCTTTTGAAAAATCCTTCTAGAAAATTAGGTAGTCACAATGCTTTAGTAGAGGTCAATATTAATTAGTGTATCAAGAGACAAAAAAATATTTTTTTATTTTTTAATACATTGCGAATAAATAAACAGTAGTAAATTAGCAAATCCTCCATGAAGTTTGGCAAAATTAGGGTCTGCAAGAATATGTCGCCATGACTTGCAGACATACCTGCATCCTACGAGAGTTGCTATTAGGAGTTTACAGAAGATTGCTTGAAGAATGTGGTCAGAGAGGATTGATATGTAACAAGACATTCTAATTCTAAAAAAAACTAAAACAAAATGATAAAGTGTTGTAGCAATTTTCTATTCATTCACTGTTTATTACTTGTTTTTTTTGCTGTAGCCTGGCTATTTTTTGGTTCTCTCTTTCTCTTACTCGCTTTAAGTCTTTTTACGTTTTAGTCTCGTTTTGTAATTTTTTTTATTTTAATTATTAAAATTTTATTATATTTAATTGTTATCCGTATAATAAATCAATTTTTTTTCCTGTAGCTGCATTTCTTAAGTCGTTCTTTTAGCTTTTAGTGAATTTTATTTTTATTTTAGTCCCTATTTTGTTACTTTTTTTATTTTAGTTATTAAAATTTTATTATATTTCATTTTTTTCCCTATAATAAATATTAAAATTTTATTTTATTTTTAGTTTAGTCCCTGTTTTTAACTTTTTTTTATTTTGATCATTAAAATTTTATTATATTTGATTTTTATCCCTATAATGAATCAAATTTTTTCTCTTCATGCATTTTTCAAGCCCCTCTTTTGGCTTTTAGTGAATTTTATTTTTATTATAGTCCCTATTTTGTAACCTTTTATTATTTTAGTCATTTAAATTTTATTATATTTGATTTTTATTCCTATAATAACTATTTTTTTCTTGGCTTTTGGTACAACTCGTTCATAATCTTATTGTTTATAAGTTTTTTTTTCCTTTTAGTGAAATTTTTATTTATTTATATTAATCCTTCTTTTATGATCTTTACTTTTTTTATCATTTAATTTTTATCGTGTATAATTTTATCTTTTTTTTTTTTGTCAAATTCTCGATTTGACAAAGCTTTTTTGTCTTTTTATTTTGGGTGGTCTCTTTATCTCATTAACAAATTACGGATGAAGAATATATGGTAAAAATTAATTATCTAAAATTTAAAAAACTACCACATCATTATTTTAATTACTATTTATTATACATATTTCTAATAAAATACATGTTTATATCAAATAATATCTAATTAGTAACATTATATTACTAAACTTTGCGGACGTTTTGTTTAGTTAGCCCTATAGCAAAATATGAGACATATGTTTTAGTTCTTTTTTTTTAATTTTTTTCACGTGATCCTTTTAAATAATTATTTTAAAATTTTGTATTTTATATGAATGAACATATAAGAATGCTTGTATAACTTATTCGAAATTTTTTTCATATGATCCTTTTAAATAATTATTTTTAAATTTTAAATTTTATATGAATGAATATATAAAAATATTGTATAGCTCATTCCTTAACGATGCATAGGTTATATTTTAGTTATTAATCTATAGCGAAATCAAAGGAAGAAAAAAGATAGAAAGATTAGAGTTGGATAGAAAAGGAAAGAAAATACGTGGGTTACTACTGGTGCAATGGCTGCGTCGGCACCTGTGTCCTCCAGTACTACTCCTCTCCTTAATTAAATCGGAAACTCTCACCCTGTCCTTTTACGCGTAAATATTTAGTTTTGATTGATAAAGACGGTGATTGTACTTTCACGGAGATTCTCTAGTTTTAACTCCACCCACCCCCAAAAAAAAAAAAAAAAAAATATATATATATATATATATAACCAACTTTCAAAAATACTAATCTTCTTCTCAAAATAATGCCTTTTTCATGACCATTATCAAAATTATGGTGACTTGTTTCCTTTTAATTCTTCTTATACATTCAATTTACACCATAATTAAAAACTACAGTAAATTATGTCCATATTTTTCTTATTAAAAAAAAAAACTATATCTATTTCTTCATCTGTCAAATTTCTAATCAAAACTGACATGATAGAATAACAATACTTTGTCCCTCCGATTTTAGTTGTATGGCTATGGATATGCGTGAGGATAGTGAACCTCATAATGGTCAATGGTCTTAACAACGCACATTCATTCTTACTGTTGTCTCTTTACAATTTTTTTGTATTATGAAAGGACAAAAACGCACAGCTCACATATTTTTCTCCACTCATCAGTGCCAAGAATGGACCCAGAATCAACGGCAATTTCTCTGGTTGAAAGATATTGACAAGAGAAATTACAAGGACAAGAAAAGAACTTTAGAAAAAAACCCTTTAAATTGGCAAACGGTATTCTAAGAAAAAACTTCTGTATAGAATTAAATCCCACATATAAAGGTTTTAGAAAAAAGATGGAGGGGAAGGGAGAGGACTGAAGACTCAGATTGATACAATTTGTCAGGCATGAAATGAAGCACAACCATGGTTCCAATAATGATATGCCTATGTATACATGATGTTTCGTCTTCCTAGTGAATTATAAAACACTTATTTCATTTCACAGATCTAACAATCCTGCCAAAGATTGCATTTTCCTTCTGATTTTTCATTTCGAACACCATCACTGCCTCAGAGAGAGAGATTGAGACGAGATCTGCTCTTCAGGAGGCTCAGATTCGCAGTTTTTATCAAAAAATTAAGAACACAAAAACCATGGCTGAAATCTCTCTGAAAATGAACAAAACAGTCAAATAATCAGTTAACGTGGAAAGAATTTGTGACTGATTTTTTTTTCTTTTTCCTCTTCTAACTTGTCTCCAAGCAACTTAATCAAAACTCTGGATGAGTATGAATATAACTCGTTAAACGCAACTTGAATGGCCTATTAGTGTCAGGTTTTGATCTTCAATCACCTAGTTCATGAGTCAGCTGAACAGAAACATTAACTGGGCAATGTTCACTGTTTTTCATCTTTCACATTCAAGTTTCTAACCTCATAGAAATGAGATTTAGCACTTCATTAACACTTACATTTTTCCAAGAGAAAAGCGCTTCCTTTTCCCAAATTTGTCTTTCAAAGAAAAACATCAAACGGCTAAAATTTTAGTTAAGGAAATAATAAACCCATTTAAAATTTCCCAGCAAAAAAAATGCAAATCGAGACCAATTTCTAGAAATAGATAAGGAAGGAAGAGGGAGGGAAGGAGGCTCAGATTCGCCTTTTGTCAGACACCAAAAGGAACACTAAGAACCAATGGCTGCAACAATGATTTCCTCAAAGTTACCCTGCCAGAGATTACATGTTCTTTTCTATCTGCTTTTCCATTCAGAAAAAAATATCACAGCCTCGTAAATATAGACGGAGAGAGAGAGAGAGTTGAAATGCTTTCTTTCTTTATTATTATTATTATTATTATTATTATTCCTTTTGAGAGAGAGAGAGAGAGAGAGAGAGAGAGGTATAAGCAGATTTAGATCTGCTTGTAAAAGAGAGGCTCAAATCCGTACTACTTATCGGACAATAGAAAAGAAAGGCAAAAATCATGGCTGCAAGAGAGGAATCTCTGAATAAAGTCACAAAACAGTAATTTTCTCAGAGAAACCATAACTTGCCTTGCCAAATGATCGAGGGTTTCTTCAAAATGACTGATTTTTGCTGGAAAATTATCATCACAGCCTCAAAAGGAGGAGGAGGAGAAGAAGAAGATAAGCGGTTCTGTCTGGCAACAAGAACACAAACATACATACAGATATACACACACACAGACTCAGGGCGGTTGATTGATTATCAGATGGTGAAATCATAGGCGTCGCAGACATTCAGAGAGAGAGGCAACCACCCTGAAGAAACCATTCCCATCCATCTCTCTGAGAGCAAAACCTCATTCTTTACTGATTTCTGGCTGTGCCCTCTGGGATTTCTCTTTGTTTTACAGCGGACTGGTTTTTTTTTTTTTTTTTTGGCCCCATCAATTCCTTGGCTACCCTTCCTCTTGTGGTGCTCATGAGTGATGAGGTGGTGGGCATTTTAGTAATTGGATTGGGGTGCATAACCTTGCAGGCTTGATGGCTTGAATCATAGGCCTTCGTGGATGGTTTTTCTGGGTAGAATGGCTGCCTTTGGGCTTTTATGTTTTTGTGTTGGGCTGGGTCATTCTATCCTTTCTGCTCTGAAGGATAAGTGGACTCAAATCTCTCGAAACTGTTCGAAAACAAATCCATGTCCTTTGAATATAAAACTAATCGGTTACCCGTGCTATACTGCGAGGTCTAGTAAAACAAAATTATTTTAAATTTTTAAAATTTTTAATTATAATATTTTATTTACTTAAAAAACATAAATCATTCTTATTTATGGATTAATTTTAAAATTAAAAATTATAACATTATTAATCAAGAATTGAAAAAAAAACTTTAAAAATATCATTTTCACAATATTATATTCCAAAAAAATTTATAATTAATAGATAGACTTTTACAAAAATTAAAAAATGAAAAAAAATCTGGATTTAATATTGATTAGAAGATTGATTTTTGAAATTATCTGCCTAACGGTACAGGTAAATAATACATAATCATTTCAAAATGTTATAATTTTATCATTGATTTTTTATTTAATTATTTTTTTTGTGTGTGTTTTTCATAAAATTTCTGCTTAAAAAAACATAATTTATTCTTCGTTATTCAGAAATTCTTAAATAAAAACTTGTAATAATTTAAACCTAAAATATTAATTAAGAATTAAAAAAAAACTTTAAAATTATATATATATTTTTTGTAAGAATGTATGCAAAAAATAAAGTTATAATTAATGTATAGACTTACATAAAAATTAACCAATGAAAAAATAAAAATTTATTCTTATTTAATGTTGATGAGAAGATTATTTTTTTTCAAGTATCCGCATTTGATCTATATATATTTATTTACAAAATAATCAATAAAATTAGCATAAAAAATAGTATTTGAATAATTGATTTGTCCCTTTAAAAAATTATTGTTATTCCTAATAAATTGATTCAATAATGTTAAAAAAATATATCTATTGTAAATAATTTGCATGATTTTGGAAGATGTACGAGTTAGTTTTTAATAAAATCAATGATTCAATGATTTTTTTTATACATTTTGACCATACTTAGTGAACTGAAACAAATTATTTGAAATAGACATTTGACCATTTAGAATATATATATATGCAACTATCATTTAAAAATTCTAAGAATTCATGATATATATTATACCAATTTATTTTTTAAAAAAGAAAAAATAATCATGTTTTAAAATTTTATTCTAAAATTCAAACATAGAGAAAAATACATTATATAATATCAGTAAATAAAATTTCATATAAAAAATATTAATTGGATGAGAATTTTTATTAAAAAAAATGAGAAATTCAAATAATGAAATTTAAATAATAAGAGTAATATAAGTCTGAACTATATGTTAATTTTAAAATATAAAAAGATATATTATAGAATTGTCAGTTTGTGTGAAAAAAAGTTATGATTGATTTTTTAAAATTTAACACCCAATTAAAAAACAAAAGAGCATAAATTGATGAAAAAAAGCAAAGAAAAATTTGTTTTTTAAAAATTTCAACACCCAATCAAATAAAAGAAGAACATAAATTGATGAAAAACAAAAGGCATATGTAGTATATCGAGTAAGGGGATTAAAATTTTTATTTTAAATTTTTAGGAACTAAAATGAAACAAATTAAAAATTTTAAAATAAAATAAAATAAAATAAAAAACTAAGCTACAATGGAACAGTGATTTACCGTTCAAATGAATAGTAAAACACTATTCCTTTATCTCAAATGGTTTGCTTTTATAGGAAATTACAGTCCAAACCAAATATATATAGATGAGCATGAAGCACCCTCTCAGTTTACTTTTTAATAATAAGTAGGATTTTCCTGTTCACCGATCTATGGTGGTTGGAGTAAATTATAAATTAGTCCTTCTAGTTTTTCCAAAAAAATTAAATAATCCTGCTAGTTTTATAATATTTTTCATTCTTTTTTAATTTAATTTATTTTTTTTGGAATAAATAACTCAATATATTTTTATATAATACTGTAAGTTTCTTACCTGTTTTTAGTTTTTTAATTACATTTCATTTGTTTTTAAAACTTTTTAAAATATTTAATCTGTCATTTCAATTAATTTTTCTAAACAGAAATTCTTTTAAATCAAAATACTTCTAACGAAATAAAAAAAATAAAAATAATAAAGCATATAAATCATGTGACTTAACATTTTTTTAAAAAAATAATGCAAGTATTATGTCGATTTACTTGAAATAAGCACAACTAAGTAACAGAAGAAATAACTTTGTCATCATTGGAGTGCATTGAGAGACCACAATCTTAACCATAATGCAATATAGTGATGAATTTAATTAAAAATAGTAAAAGAGCATTTTTTTAGAAAATATAAAAAGTAGAAGGACGAAATAATAGTATCAACCCCCTTTTTTCCTCCAGAGAATAAAGCTCTGTCGCTTCACGCCCTTTTTGCATTGTCAACGTAAAAAAACAAATGTCTCCTTCTCTGCCTCTCGCTCTCTTCCACACACGGAAGAAAATATATGTTCATTACTGTCTCTCTCCGTCTCACATGTATATATAGAAAGAAAGGAAAGAAAAAAAAAACGGGCCAGGCTCGCTCCTGGTTGGCGTGTAAAAATAAATAAAGCTCAAGAACGCAAATGCTGATGCACTAAGGCTCATTTATTGAATTGTAAATCAGGCTATTTAATAGCCTTGTACAAAACAGAATGGAGAAAAATGTTGCAACTATTTTCACGTATTCAACGTGATTATTCAGTTTGAATTCAAAAATAAGTTCTAACTACTTTAACCTTAAAAATAGGACTTTCCTTAAGACTAGGTAACTTAAATAACAGCAAAGACTAAGTCCGGGACCAAGTCTCATCAAAGAGCTTCTATCAAACCCTCCCTTAAACCGAGCAACACTCGCTTAGTTTAATTCACACACGCCTAAACGAGCCCCGAGTTTCGAAATTGATCAAGCTTCGAGGGGTTTTGTAAATATATCCGCAACTTGCTCCCGAGTGCCACAATGAATCAGCTGCACTTTTCCCTTGTTCGATAGCTCCCTTAAAAAATGAAATCGCACTTCAATGTGTTTGCTTCTCCCATGCATGATCGGATTTTTGGACAATTTGATAGTCGAACTATTGTCACAAAAAATAGTCGTGCATTCATTACCATTACATCCAAGGCTTGTGAGAACTTTCTTCATCCAAATTGCTTGACAAGCGCATGCTGCAACAGACCACGAACTCGCCTTCGTGGTTGATAATGTTACGATTGCTTGCTTCCTCGAAGACCAAGCTATCGCCCTGAACTCATCATAAATGCATATCCCGAAGTGCTCTTTCGATCTTCCATACATCCAAGCATAGTCACTATCGGTGTATCCAACTAAAGTATCACCGGAACTCCTCCGATACGGAATTCCATAGCCATAGGTTCTAGTTACATACCTTAGCACTATTTTTGCAGCCATAAGATGAAGCTCCGTAGGTTGCGACATATACCTACTAATCAAGCTAACTACAAACATCAAATCGGGACGAGTAGAAGTTAAATACATTAAGCTACCGACCAATTACTTGTAATAAGTGCCGTCAACCATTATCCCATTTTCATCCTTTGAGATTTTTGAACCGGGGACAATTGGATTCGAGACGACATTGCATCCTTCAATTCGAAACCTCTTCAGAGACCTCTAACGCATACTTCTTTTGGCAAATAAAAATTCCAAACTCCATTTGTTATACTTCGATTCCTAAAAAATACCTCATTTTTCCTAAGTCCGACATATCAAACTCCTTCATCATTGATTCTTTGAACTCCCTCATCATTGCATTGTCATCTCCAAGTATATATTAAATCATCAACATATAAACTCACAATCAAATGCATGCCTCGATCATTGCTCTTTATGAAGAGTGTCCGCTCACCTGGAACACTTCTCAAAACCCTCCCTTAAGAAATAGCTTTCTATGCGACTAAACCGAGCTCGAGGAGCCTGTTTTAATCCATACAATGCTTTTCTTAATTTATATACTTTGTCGAGCTTTCCCTCTTTCTCAAAGCCTTTAGGCCGCTCGACGTAAACATCCTTCAACGGATCACCATACAAAAAGGCCAATTTCACGTCAAGTTGATACACTCCCCATCCTTTCTGAGCAGCTAAGGCAAGGATGGTTCGATCGTGTACATTCGAGCTACGAGCGCAAAAACTTCACGATAATCAATTTCATACTCCCGTACGTACCCTTTTGCAACTAGACGAGCTTTGAACTTCTCCACTTCACCATGTTCATTAAACTTTGTCTTGTAAATCCATTTAACTCCAATGCATTTGGCACCTTCGGCAAATCAGGTGAGATACCATGTTCCATTTTTCTTAATGCTTTGAATCTCCGATTGCATTGCTTTCTTCCAGCTTGTCATTCTTCATAGCTTTTTCGAAACACGTTGGATCAAGTAGTGGTGTTTAAAGCAAAATTCACCACGGCCTCATCACCCTCCGAGAGCCCTTCCCCACCGATGTAATCATCCATCCAACAAGGAGGTCTTCTAGTTCGATGTTCTTCCGGATTTGAACTGGAAGAGGAGGTTGCTTCGCATTAATTTCTTCTTCTTCTCTTTCTTCGGTCTCAGCATCCTCATCACTTAGCTCCGTAGTTGTAACTTATTCTCCCCATTCGAACTCGGCATATATTTCTTGTTCGAAACTCTTGTCCCGGGTCCAATCTATCGTTTTCTTCAAAGATTACATCTCTGCTGGTCACCACTTTTCCTTTTATAGGATCATAAATCCTATATCCTTTGGACTCTTCACTAATTCCCAAGAGAACTCCACCGTCGCTCTTGTTGTCCAACTTTGTTCTTTTCGGTTTGGTATGTGGATATGACATACGCATCCAAAGACTCTAAAATGTCCGATTGATGGCCGTAGGCCACTCCATACCTCTTCCGGTGTCATGTTGTTTAATGCTACTCGTAGGACATCGATTCAGCACGTATATTGCCCATTTCATCGCTTCGGGCCAGAATGTTTTTGGAATTTCCTTCTCCGACAAGCATACTTCTTACCGAGTTCATCATCGTGCGATTCTTTCTCTCGACGAACTCCGTTTCTGTCGAGGGTGTAAGCGATGGTTAATTGCCTTTTAATCCCATTCTTTTTGCGAAGTCATTAAATTCTATGGATGTAAATTCTCCTCCACGATCCGTTCGTAGACATTTAATGAAGAGACTTGTTTCTTTCTCGACAAATATTTTGTAAAGCTTGAATACGGAGAATGCATCCGATTTTTCACTTAGAAAATATGACCAAGCTTTACGACTAAAATCATCGATCAAACATAGCACATATTTCTTTCCACTATTTGAGGTAGGAGAAATTGGTCCACATAGGTCTACATGAATTAATTCTAACCTTCGAGATGTTCTCCATGTGCTGCGTTTTGAGATGGGTTCTCTATGTTGCTTGCCTTTCACACAATGGATGCAGATTTCTTCGAGATTGTAAGTCGTGGGAGTCCGTGTACCAATTTCTTACGCTGCAAGATTTGAAGACCGAGTGTTACCGATATGCCCAAGTCTACGATGCCATAATTGGGATAGGTCTTGAGTGGCAGTGTTGAAGCGGACTTCTTGTTTGGACTTACACACTATTTTCGCTATCGGAATAAACATCCGATTAGCCGTCATCTCGGATTGTATAACGAGACCCTTACGTGGATGATATATTTTGCATTTTCCTCCTTCGATCGAACGGATAAGCCCTTTTCTTATAGCTTTCCTATGCTTAAGAGGTTATTCTTAAGCTCGTGTACGCAAAACACATTATCAACAATGCAATTTACTCCATTTACCTCAATTTTGACACTCGCCTTTTCCCGAAACCATCATCCTTGTGTTGTTTCCAAGTTTTACTGATCCGTTTGAATATTTCATCCAATTCCGCGAAGAGAGTTCTATCACCACACATATGGTTCGTCGCATCCCGAATCCAAGAACCATATGTCTTCTCTTTTGCTCCAATGTCCTCAACATAAGCCATAAGCAGCATCTCTTCCTCTCCATCTAGTTCAGCAAAATTTGCTTGTTTTCCCCGTGTTGGACACTCACGCCGAAAGTGACCGAGCTTATGACATCGATAGCACTCCACGAGTGGCTTTATTAGAGGCCGGCCATCCTCGTCCTCCTATTCCTCGACCCCCGCCTCCGTAACTCCCTCCTATGCCTTTACCTTTACTAGACTCGGTCGTCACTTTCGATACTTGATCCTCGCAATGCTTTTCTTTTGAATTTTCTCGCTCGTGCACTAATAATGAGCTTTGTAATTCATCTATAGAAAGACTTCGATATCTTTCGATTCTTCTATGGAGCACACTACATAATTCCAACCTTCGAGAGTGTACGTAGGATCTTCTCCACGATCTTTCCATCCTCCATATCCTCTCCAAGGTTCCTCATATTATTAGCGACAAGCATGACTCGGAAAAATAGTCATTAACGACCTCACCAACCTTCATTTCAAGTACTTCGAATTCCCTTCGAAGAGCTTGTAGCTGCGCATCGCGCACCCTTTCATTTCCTTGGTATCTTGTCTTCATGGAGTCCCAAAGTCGTTTAGACGTGTCTTTTCCGAAGGATGGTCTTCGCAGTGGTTTTGTCGATGGCCCGGAAGAGGTAGTTTTTCACTTTGAGGTCCTTCAATTTCAAGTCCGCAAGAGTGGCTCTTTGTGCTCCAGCTTAGAACCTCTCCTCTTCCCGGCTCTGTGAATCCTGTTTCGACTAGATGCCACCATTCTTTTTAACGTAATAGATTTTCCATGAGCATGGACCAATATTCATAATCCCCGTCGAATTTGGGAATTGTCGGCATGTTATGTCCTTCACCTACCATTGTTTCGCTCTTTCTCTCTTTTCTCTCTTCTCTCGTGTTTACTCTCTTAAACACTCCCCGTCGAGCCCCGTATATGGCTCGATACCATATTGTAAAAACAAATGAAGCTCAAGAACGCAAATGCTCGATGCACTAAAGCTCATTTATTGAATTGTAAATCGAGCTATTTAACAACCTTGTACAAAACAAAATGGAGAAAAATGTTGCAACTACTTTCACGTATTCAACGTGATTATTCAGCTTTGAATTCAAAAACAAGTTCTAACTACTTTAACCTTAAGAATAGGACTTTCCTTAAGACTAGGTAACTTAAATAACAAGAAAGACTAAGTCCGGGACCAAGTCTCATCAAAGAGCTTTTATCATGGCGCACGAGTAGCCCGAAGCACGCTTGGGCGTGCGACCGCAGCCCGCGCACCGAGCCCGGCTAGCCGATCAACCCAAAAAAGAAAAAAAATAATAATAATCTGCAACTTTCAATGAACTCGAGGTCGCCGAAGCTTCGTCGAAAAATCAAGGATCAAGTTTTAGATCCTTAGAAATTGAATTCCGACATCATTTTTTTTCTAAACACTTCTAAATGACTAGAATAAAGCCAAAAAACACATCTAAAACCTTAAAAAAATTATTTTAATATACACCAAAACAAAGAAAAATACACAATCAAATCATAACCTTTTTTTTCTTTTTTGACTCCGATCTACCTCCTTTAATTGTTTAATGGCTTGAAATCACCATGGACAAACTCATTTCTCAAAGATAAAAAAATATAACGAATTTTCGTCGGCTAAAATAGCCTAAATAAGCTTGATCGGTAATCTCTCTCTCTTCCCGTCTCTCTCTTCCTCCCTCCCTTCTCTCTACACCTAAGGACCAAAACGAATGAGCAAATGAAAATGTGAATCGAAATATTTGTTTAAAAATATCGGGGACCAAAACATAAAAACTAACATAATTTTCACTTATGAAAATTCAAAAAATCACGAAAATACCGTCCACAATGCATCGAGTCCGAAGCTACGAGTAAATGAATAGTAAAACCTTCAATTCTTTTAGTTTTATGTAATGTAATATCCTATTCAAGTCATCCTTTAACTTACTTGATTTAATTGAGATTAATTGACTCCCAAATTCACTTAAAGATTTGAAAAATTAACTATATTCGAAACACTCACGAGTTGAGATTAGCTATAAGTTATACTAATAGCAGTAGAGATTAATTTGAGTGGCCTCAATTTCTAAATTTGGTCGCCGACCTCTCCATTACAATTGATCATTCGATTTTTTGATTTAGTTATGAATTTTTTTTTCGATTTTTGAGTAATTAAATTAATTGAAATAAAAATTAAATCCAAATTGAATTAAGGTTCGATTTTTCAATTAAAAAACCAAAATTTTCATTTCAGTTTTTGGTTAAAACTTTTTTTTTTCGTATTTTTTCTTCTGAATTTTAAATTTTTTCTTAGACCAAACTAAAATGCCATGTTTTTGTAATTATTTTTTTGATTTTTAAAAATTACTAATAGCTTGAATTGAAGTTTTAACCACAAAAATAGAAGAAAATGCTATGAACCTTAAATGTGTGTGTTAAAAAAAAAAAACTAATTTCGATTTTTTTTTAATTTTTTTGTACGAAATCAAATCAAAATTGCTAATTCAATTTGAATTTTCAATTTTAATGAATAGTACTCACCCCTACTCTGGATTGAGAAGACGACCAGACGGCATTCTCTAGAAATGTAAAATACCATAAATGGTTTATTCATCCATGTTTTAGTTTCAAACCAGAGGGTAAAAATGAGATTTAGCGGTCTATCTTCAAGAACTCGTTCACCAATGTCTCCTTGGGTCTTGTGGTTTGGTTCCAAGCCCGAGCAAGTGGCAACCAGGGTCTTCATTGGTATCAGCTCAGCACCAGCAACAATAAAGAGAGAGAGGGAGAGAGAGCTTGTTTCATTTTGCAGAATGTCAGGACGCCAGTGCACATAGTCCAATAAAAAGAACTAGAGAATTCTGGCAATTTCTATGTTCCATCCAACAATCTGACAATCCATTATCACATTATTAAATGAACCTGTGAAAGGTTAAAATTCCAACACAAAATAGTACTCACTCGATTCCTCCACTTTCGCTACTTTAGAATTTGAACGCAGAATCAACTGCAATCGCTCATGGTAGAAAGAAGTAGAGAAAATAAATAAAAAAAGACAAAAAAAAAATTAAATTGGCAAACAATATTTGAAGAAAAACATTGGTCTAGAATTAAATAACACCCAGATGAAGGTTTTAAAAGAAAAAAAATGGAGGGGAAGAGACTGGAGGCTCAGATTCAGAGTTTGTCAGATATGAGAAGAAACACAACCATGGCTGCAACAATGATATGCTTATGAAAGAATGATGTTTCGTCTTACTAGTGACTTGTGAAACAAACACCATTCATTTCACAGACCCAACAAAGTCACCCTGCCAAAAATTTTATGTTCCATTCTATCTGATTTCTCATTTCGAACATCATCATTACCTCATAGCTATAGAGAGAGAGAGTGAGAGAGAGAGACAGATTACGTTGATTTGCTTTTTTTTTTTTTTTTTGTTGGGAATTAGATCTGCTTTCTAGGAGGCTCAGGTTCGCTTTTATCATCAGAAAATTATAAAGAAACGCAAAAACCATGGCTGCAATCAAGAGGATCATCTGTGAAAAAGAGACAGAACAGTCCATTTAACACAGAAACCTAACTTGCCTTGCCAAAGGATTGAAGGGTTTCTTTAAAATGGCTGATTTATAACTGGAAATATCGTCACAGCCTCATCGGAGAAGAAGAAGAAGGGAAGAAAAGGATGATGATCAAACCACTTATTAAAATGGGTGAAATCATCGGCTTCGCAATCTTTCAGAGAAGGAGGCAACTAACCTGAAGCCAACCAGTCCATCTCTGACAGCAAAACCTCATTCTGGGATCATTTGAGAAATTCCACGGTGCCTTCGTAACCAGTACAAGATAAACTTCTTTCAATGCCTTTGCCGTTCCATGAATGACGGAGGGCGTAAAAACATTTTAATGTTTCAATTGCTTTATGCTTTCGGCTAAATAGGTTGAACCTTCCTGAATTTTAATTTATTTAAAAATTAATTCTTAAATTTTCAATTGAATTTTAATTTTTTATAAAATTTAGTTTATTCGTTTTTTTATAAACAATAACAGTGACGCAAATTACGTAATTAATTGAAATGAATAAAAATCTAAAAAAATTTCTCATATTCATTACACAACATCAAAACACTACAAGACTAATTCCAAAATAATTTACTATAATAATAATAATAATAAACAACATAATCATTCAATTTTTCCTATGAACTTGAAAAGGAAAAATATTAGTAATAATAATTTACCTTTCTAGCAAAATTTGTCTCTCCATAAAAGTTTTGAATTTACAAATCTCAATATTATATAAGACCATTACCTTGAATATTGTAATTCTCTATGATTGAAGTGCTAAAGAGTAAATGCTAGAGAAAATCTCAATATATATTCAGCTCTCTTTCCTCTCTTATTTATCAATTTTTCTTCTTTTAGGACTTAATTTGAAGAGTGGTGGTTGAGGAAAAGGTTTTCTAGTCCATTTGTAAAACTCCTCATCATTTACAAGTTTCATCTATCCTTATGATATTAATCATCAATGTAATCCCAAGATTAAGGTATATGCTCATAAAAAATGTCATAACATGGCAACAAAGAATTTTTCTTCTTTTAGGACGTAATTTGAAAAGTGGTGGTTGAGGAAAAGGTTTTCTAGTTATTTTCTAAAACTTCTCACTATGCATAAGTTTCATCTATCCTTGTGATACCCGTCATCATCCTAATCTTGAAAATCTAGGTATATATTCATTATAGATGTCATAGAATGGCAACAAAGAATCTCAAATAATTATCATAATTTGCATGTGCATGTCCTTTTATTTATATTGATAATGAAATTGTCGCATTATTAGTGACTTTAAAATCTTCATTTCCATTCCAATATTATTTCAAGCAAGTCTATTCACTTTTTAATTTTTTTTCTAATTATAGGACCATGATTCCCATTCTACTTTAATTTCAAATCCCTATCAGTATGCAATCTATACAACAATAATCTTGATATCCTCTAACATTAAACGAATAGACTTGCATCTAGCTCCAATAATTTTACCATTAAACGTTTTTGTTCATTTATCATTAGTAGTATCATAAGTGGTATTTGTGTTAAAGAAAGCCTTAAACCAATGTTTATGATCATTCTTCATCGACTCCTAACATATTATAGTTTTCTCTTTCAAGAGATTAGTATTTGCATATAGCCTTAATAATTCTATACCATTGAAAGCTCTTGTTAAGTTATTACCAATGATATCACAAGTTGTATTTGTGTTAAAAAAAAAGTCTTAAACCAATGTTTAGGATCATTCTTCATCATCAACTCATAACCTATTATAGTTTTCTCTTCCAAGAGATCAGTAAATTTCTTAAAGTTAAGCATATGAGTGACTTTAGCACATATCCAATATAGCTTCGTAGACCCTTTTTAGGTTTTTTTTCTCTAGTTCACATACAAATGCCTAACACAATACATATGATACACCATTGGAATCATTCCTACCTGCAGCTCCCACCAATCCTTAGCATTTAGTATTAATTGTTATTATTATTAAAGATTGAAAAGAAATTAAGTTAAACAAAACAAACTAAAAAATAGCAAGTCCGAGTGCATCATCTTTTGTTGTTCGGAGATTATTGTCCATCCATCACCCATCGGTATTACCATGATTAGCTTTTAAATTCATCAAAAACAAGGATCAAGTTCCCTAAGACTATGCATCAACCATTGCCTTAGAATTAGGAACAACTCGGTTATTCCCATCTATATAAATTATAGATAAAATTTGCCCCTTTACACATTATTTTAATAAAGCATCCATCAAGTTCTATTACTTGTTTATAACCAAGCAGGACACCCTTTCTTACAATAGTTAAAAGCAATGTATATTGGGATAAAAGTCCAAGATGTTCTTCTACTCGTTTTAAATTTCGAATCGTATTACTCTACTAAAATTTTAACTATCGCGTCCTTCTACTCTATTTTACATCCGCATTTGGTCTCCTCGATCACATTTTCTAAGACTCGAAAATAATTTTTCAATTAAGAATAATAGGATGCTAACACATGACATTAATTTTTTTCCTTCTCGATTTGTAATATCAAGTAAAGATTGAAATGAAATCAAAAAAGAAAATTTTCAAATTACCCCCACTTAAAAACCCTTTGACACATAGATAAACAAAAATGCTAACATGTCTACATTTGGTCCCCTGTTCTTGATCGCCATAACTTTCACATTGCTATTAAGTTTGTTGAGCTACTCACAAAGGTCAATAGACAATCTGGTAAGGAGCTGGAGCAGGAGCCAAAATTCTAGAAGAACGATGATGCTAGCTGGTTTTGTGAAGATGATTCTAACCAAGCCCGGTGGTCGAAACTTTCTCTACTTATCCTCCAATTGGTCTATTTGTTATGAGTAAGGGTGAGCAAACGGTTTTTCGATTCGATTTGTATCAATTTTGGTTTCAATTTTTGGTTAATCAAACACGATAAAACAACAACTCGAACCGCATTGAATTATAATTCGATTGTTAAATTTCAATTTTAAAATATTTCAGTTTTAATTTTTTATTTTTCAGCATTAACCGAATTCATAAAAATTGTTATTTGGTCGCTAAGAACCTAAAGGCTCACTCTCGATAAACCAATAGAGTGATGCAAGCGACCCTAGCCCACCCCAAACCCACCCACAACCTCTTTATAGACTTTCGTACTCTTAAAAAATCATTAACTTTCGATGTGGGATTATGAGCTAGTGAACTCACTTTTTCAAAATTCCTTTATCCCACATTGGCCAGCTTAAACATTTGAAGCGTGTGGGTTGGCTTATAAATAAAGGAAAACTTACTTCTCTATGTTTTAGAATTGTGACCAAGTGAAGTGGGCTTATTTGGGCTTCAAAATTCATGACCTCTTTGTAGGTCGTGGTTGAAGTTCAAGAAGGCCAACAAAAAGCTATGAGCTAATTGTAATTTTAATAAATTTCAAGTTCATTTTAAATTAAATAAAATAAAATTAGATGCAAATTTTGATTTTTAGTTGACACTCGATTTAAATTTTTTAGAAACCAAAATTAAAATTTAATATAATTTCGGTTCGTTTTTATCGAAGTAAATTTAAATGAAAAATCGAACCAAAATAGGTATCTTGATTTGGTTTGGTTTGGTTTTTTAGTTTTAACTAAAGTTTGCTCACCCCTAGTTGTGAGGGATATGTGCCGATCGTTCGTCGTGGGAATCATCGGGAGTGTTGAGAAGAAGTACCCCTATGGTGCTAAGGTTACCAAATCCGCAACCGGGAAAGACAAGTGAATCGTGCCTGGTTGATTCTACGGAAAGTTATTTTAAAAATAACAATGTTTTTTTTTCTACCGTCTATATCTTGGATGTTAATCTATGTGTCAAGAAATTTTTAGTTTTATGTCATCACCATCATCATAAGGTCTGTTTGCGGAATTAAGTTCTTGATCGGTGGTGGAGTGATACAAGTATTGAGGGAGTTTTTGCATTTTTGTTTATCTCTCGTGTCAAAAGGGTTTTTCTTTTTTGATATCATTTCAATATTTACCGATATTATGAATCAAGAGAGAGAAAAATAATATCACATGTCACTCGTAGCGCCCCGCCCTGATCATATTTCTAACTACCCAAGTAGGTATCTGGATGAAGCACGTTACACCGACATATCCTAAACTCTAAGTAGTTTTCTTATGATATTCTTAGGACTTTAACAAGTACATTACGTATATAACTCCTTA